GTCTCCCGCCCCTCTGCTTTGGAAGTGGTGTGCTGTCCAAGTGATGTGTACCGCGGAGAGAGTCGAGTTTCCAGCAAAGCAAACTCCACCCTCTGTTAACAATAAGTGTTAATTAGGTGTCAACGATAGCCATGTGATGTGAGTATCAGTCACATGGAGGCAGGGCTTAAAAGCCTGAATTTTGCCTGAAACTCTCAGACTGAAGAAGTCTCTTGGAGGAGAGATGAAACGTTTCTTTAGAGAAGAACCCGTCCAGAAGACCTATACTATTTTTTTCTTTTTGATTTTTTACCTGGATTACTGAGATGCATCAGGACATCTGAAGTAAGATTTTCAATCATCACTTTGTCTTAATAAATAGAAACACTGCAGCACCTGCATAGTCACACAAACAGGTCTGCCTGAAGTTTGCTGATGAACATCTGAACAATTCAAAGGTTTGTGACAAACTGATGAGATCAAAATCCAGGTTTGTGGCTTCAACTCCAACTCATCTCATTGTTTGCCGAGTGTGACCCAAAACCATCATTCTCACAGTCAATGATGGAAGTGGAGACATTATCACATTATTAGTTTTCACTGTTAGTTCCTTTGGTCAGTCCCTGTCGTTCACATACAGCTAGAAAAATACTGGCCAATGTTCTGCCAGAAGGCCTACAAATCTTAATAATAAAGAAAATATCATAAATAATTGCGTTTTTTTTAATAAATAAGGAGGAGTGTCAAATATTTAAAAAATATATAAAAAAGAAGACATCATTGATGGTGAAAAGATGTGTTTAAAGAAGTCTGGGATCACTCACATTTTGATAATTCTGTACCTGATTAGTATGTGTTCCATTCTATTTATTTTATTGTAAAAATAGACATGTTCAACGTGTATTCTAAGACAATACCTGGAAGCTTCAGTTATTTAATATTCATTCTTCGAAATGAGTTAGATGCTAATTACAAATATCAATTTTAAAAAGTAAAGAAGTGGTTATACATCTGATTTATTTACATTTATTCGAGCATGCTGACCTGTGATGACCTCGTGACCTGATGGTAAGGCGGTAGCAGCAGTGGCAGTCTGAACTCCGTTGGTTAAACTTCCTGTGTTGTCTCCTTCTGCAACCTGAACACAAACGTGTATCAGATCAAATATATGAGAAAAATAATAATATTTGAGCAGGAATATTGCTGTCAATCACAGGGAGACAAGCTGATCAAAAAGCAGCTTTTTTTGGTGTTTAATTTCCTGTCATTCTGAGGAGTCAGAGACATTATGATGTAAGCTAATGTGGGTCTCACCAGGCGGGGGCTGGCTGAGATCAGGTTTCCTTTCTTTAGAAGTTCTGATAAAAGAGGTGAAGGTGGTGGTGTGGTTTTCTGAGTTAGGATTCTCTTCTGTGGGGAGTCATCAACCAGAGCCGCCAGGCTCCCATCCTTGGGCCCAGATGCTGAAGGGTCCGCTGCTGGCAGGAACACTCCGACCCCGTGAGCCTGACAGAGAGGCAACAAGCAGAGACAAGCTGGAATCTGACATTTTTACACTCATATGCTTTTATGTTATTAATTTTAAAACACGAGAGAGGATTTGTTTTTCTCTCTTTTTTTTCTCTTCTTACGACTGAGTGGATGGAAGTCTCATCGGATGTGATGCCTTCTGTTTCCATAGGAGGAGTAGAGACTGAAGAATCGGCCTGAGTGTCCAGGTTTGTGGGGCTGGCCCCGAGGGGAGAGCGCACAGTTACACTGGGGAGGCGCTTGGGTGTGTTTTTTACAGCTTGCCGCGCTGCAGTGAACAGAGAGTGAAAAACCATTGTGAATGCAAAGCACAGAAATCATACAGAAGTCATCATGTTAAAGTATCGTCATTATAACCGACAACACCAGAGAAACAACTGTCTGTTTAATAAATAAGTTCAAGAACGTTCCAAGAAGATAAAGAAAATCTGGTCCATGAACATTTTTAAATGTGAAGCCTCAAACTGGAACAGAAAAACTTTACAGAAATGACCTTCTGGTGAAAGGCCTTGGTTTTGATACTGTTCACAAAGGAGCGTACAAGTTTATTTTTTTTATTAAATCATTTATTGCAAGGCTTCAGTTTACCTGAATGACAGCAGTTCTATGATGTTGTGATCATGTTATCTAAAACTATCATTAAAAAAATCTTAAAAACAATAAAGTTGGATATATTCAGATAGCTTTCTTTTATCCAAGTTCAAATGAATAAATTAAGGTTCTTTGTCCTGCCAGAAGGTGGCAGTATAGACGTGGGAAATCTATGAAGGTACTTTTAACAACCGTACTGAGTTTTGACCACATGACTGTGTGATCCACTGTAGAGGCCACAGCACTAAGCAGAAAGAGTCTGGATTTAACTTTACTGTACATGTTGGCAACACAGTGAAAGAAAAGGACTGATTATGTAGAAATTGTTAAAACTATTAATAACATGAACAAAATTATTACTAATATTTGTGTATTAAGTGTATATCAGCTATCTAATGTTTATAAAATATCAGAAAGATGTGTGTTTTATGGATGTACCAATAGAAGAGAAACAGGGAAAGTGTCTCATTTCACAAGTAATCAGGTTTAATCTTATTTAACTCAATGTTTACAATTAATCAGTTTAAAATAAAAATAAGCTAATAAAGCCAATGCAATCTTTAGCTATGTTTACATGCACAAAATGTTTTGATCGGATTAAAATGTATTCGGATTAAATAATCTGAATGTACTGTTTACATGGACACAGTCCGATCATGAAAAGTGTTTACATGCATCGGACTTTTATTCAGAATAAAAGTCCGGACATGCGCAGTGTTATAAACTTTCAGCTCTACTTCCGTATTACAAACGTAAACAACGCTCCTCTGTGCGCTCAGGACGGACCCGTGTCAGCTTTTAATAACGGTAGAGATGTCGTTACTCGTCTCCTCGGTTGAGCTGCAGCCTGCAGATAAAGCAATACGTGTTTTTATTTTTTGCGAAGCAACGTCTGCTGTTTGCCTCCTTTTTCATCTGTTAAGAGAGCGAGGAGGAAAAGTTCTGCACGGTGCAGCGCAGCTGGAGCGCTGCTGTCCCACCTCCTCTAACCAAGTCAGCAGACATGAGCACACAGGTCAGTTTTCTACAATCAGAATAAGATGATCAGATTAAGTGTTTACATGAACCTCATTCCGATTATCAATCGGCATAACCCACCCTTTTCATTCGTATTAAAAATTCATTCGGATCGAGCTCAATCGGATCAGAATAATCGGAACGGGCTGTTTACACGACGCACTTTTTTTTCCGAACAGCCAATTAATCCGATTACTTTTGTCCATGTAAACGTAGCTACTGTTAATTATTGAACTGGTTAGCAGATAGTAGCATCTGTAGCATGTTGTTAACCAGAGCGTAGCACTGCAGAGTCATGCTACAATTTAGAATAAATTATTAAATAATAACCGATTTGTCCTCTGATTTATATAATACTTGCACAGTGTAAAACAATAATATATATTTGAATATTTTTAGGTTTCTATTGGACAAACATGACCTGTTGTGAAGATATTTAGGTGATTTCAGCAGAGACAAGTATCATCCTGAAGTATAAGCAGGTTTACAGTGAACATTTGCTAAGTGTTGACTGGTAAATATTTATTGTTATTGTTTAACAATAACAAGTAACAATAATAAATATAATTTAATGCTAGTTGAAGTAATAATTTTTCAATTAGCTTTTATGTTATTGACTGACTGATCACTGTTACTTATAAATTATATATTTTTAATATATCTGCTGTTTTTCATGATAGTTGAATCAAAGAACGTAATTAGTGATTTAATGAAAAAGAACTACAGATAACGTGATAGATCTATTAGGGCTTGCTGTTAATCAAATATTTGCTATGAGGGCTGTGAGCCGACGCCCTGTATGATCGTCATTTTTACTCCTCCATGTTGTCACACATGCAAACAGTGGACAGGACTTTAACTCTATGGGAAAATTAGTTCTTGTCCTGATAAGAATTTTAAAGAAAGGAGAAAAAGTAAAAAAGACAAATGTGCTGAACATCCTGAAACATATCAAAAACAAAAAAAGTAGGTCCTCTGGATGGGTTCTTCTTTGGTGAAACGTTTCGTCTCTCCTCCAAGAGACTTCTTCAGTCTGATGAGTTTCAGGTGAAACTCAGCCTTATAAGCACTGCCTCCACTTGGACAAACAGGTTGGTCACATGCAAAGAGGGCCATCGACTAACAATAGGCTTGATTATCTCTATTGTTCATAGAGGGTCATGTGCTCCATCACCTGACCCGTGTTGTGTTATGTGACTGTAGTGAATGCAAGCGGGGTGGTCGTTTAATGGTGGATGGTTTTTCTTCACAAAGATGGCTTCCTTTACTCCTCTCTCAAACCAACGTTCCTCTCTATCAAGGATGAGAACATCTTCATCCCTGAAAGAGTGACCGCTGGCCTGTAGATGAGTGTAAACTGCAAAGTCCTGACCAGTAGATGAGTGTAAACTGCAGAGTCCTGGCCTGTAGATGAGTGTAAACTGCAGAGTCCTGGCCTGTAGATGAGTGTAAACTGCAGAGCCCTGGCCTGTAGATGAGTGTAAACTGCAGAGCCCTGGCCTGTAGATGAGTGTAAACTGCAGAGNCCTGGCCTGTAGATGAGTGTAAACTGCAGAGCCCTGGCCTGTAGATGAGTGTAAACTGCAGAGCCCTGGCCTGTAGATGAGTGTAAACTGCAGAGTCCTGACCTGATGATGTAACTCGTCTGTGCTGGCTCATTCTTTTGAACAGTGGCTGTTTTGTTTCCCCGATGTTTACTGATCACAGTCCTCCCGACACTTAACAGCATATACTATATTACTCTGTTTTTGCCGAGGAACTGGATCTTTGGGGTGAACTTGACATGTGACTAACCTGTTTGTCCAGGTGGAGGCAGTGCTTATAAGGCTGAGTTTACCTGAAACTCAGACTGAAGAAGTCTCTTGGAGGAGAGACGAAACATTTCACTAAAGATGAACACATCCAGAGGACCTACTTATTTTTTCTTTTTGATTTTTTCTACCTGGATTACTGAGATGCATCAGGACATCCTGAAACATAACAAAACAGATGTGTTGGTTACTGTACATCTAACAGGTGGATTTTGGAAAGATGCTGGTCAGATGGTTATTACTGTGTGCCAGCTCAAATCTGAAACAGCTGCTTAACTTATCTCTGTCAGGTCAAGAGTTTTACTTTATAAAATAGTTTCCATCTACAGAACATCAGTCATCAGTTCTGTTTAAAAAAAAAGAAAAAATGCATGTAAAATCAATTACCTTTTAAAGATTTTTTTAATTCACGTTTTGAATGTGAATCAAAAGGAGCAACAAAGAGTCAGCTAATGAAGGCTGTAAGATCCTTCAGCTCAGATTGTAAAAGCTGTAGCATTACAATATATTCTGCCTATTGTTAAACGTGTCATAGTTGAGAGAAAAGGATTAGGGAAATAAAATAATCTTGAAGGACGGTCACAAGAAAAACAAATCAAGACAGAAAAAAGAAATAGGTGCAGAAGTTCATCTGCAGTCCAAACAGCTGCCTGGAAAGAGAACCAGCTCTTTTAGACTTTATACTTGGTGGGCAAAAAAAGCTGATAAACCTCCAGGTTGCACCAAAGTCATACAGAACTTGACTTGTATAAACCAAAGAACAAAAAAACAAAGCTGTTTTGGTCTGTTTCTCTTTATGTTTTTGCACAAAGCTGATTTAGCTGACGGGTTTATTAACTCTGAACTTTGCCTCCACAGATATATTGTGCTGACCACCTCTGCTGGCATCATGGATCACGAAGAGGCCAGACGGAAACACACAGGAGGCAAAATCCTTGGATTATTTTTCTAAAAATGTAAAGAACTGCAAATAAAAACAACCAGAGAAAAGCTGCTAGTATGTTGTGACTCGTTTTACATGAAGTACCTGATAGCTTTTAGCTTTTGCTTTTTGAGAAATATCGTCGGGGTGTTTGAAGAGTTTGGGAAGACACTTCAGTATTTCAGAATGTGCAGAATAACAACCACAGAAAAGGATGTGATAGGTAGAACTAATCATTGTAAAAGCAGCTGATATAAATGTACTTATACACCACAGTTGACTCAAATCAAGCCTCTAAAAGTCATTTGGCTAAAGTGAAGCCAAGGTTTTAATAATAAACAAAAGGAGTTGCTGATTAGTTGAGGTTAAAAGTAATAATTTATTAAGCCTCTACTGTAACCTTTGAGGATGTGTTGGTTAGACCGGGAAGACTGGAAAAAAAGAGGCTGTGAATTTGGACGGTCTAGCCTCCCCTCCTTACCCCGGCGTACGTCATGTCACCTAGCAACTGTGACGACGCTAAACAAGCAAACTTAGATCAAAACTAGAAAAATATCAATACATTAGCATTATTAATAACACAAAACTATAAATAATAATGATAATAATAATGAATGATAATAATGAAGCTGTCAGTTTGTCCACAATATTTTTGCAGAAGCATTTTAGTTTTATGTGGATTAATATTGGAATATTTTTGTTCCTGAAAACATTTTCAGGTTCATCTTCAGTTCAGATTACACAAGGCAGCACCATATAAAGATCTTTTTCAAACATCAGAAGGCTTCCAGACTAACATTTTGCACTTGAACACAATAACACATCACATTTTTCAGCTCCTTGACCTTCATCAACATTACATTTTTAAAGTGCAAACATAAACTGTACATACTCTTTTTTAAACAAAACATATTAAGTGCCAATATTTTAAATGTCTGATATTAAAAAAACACAAAGATGATGAAATGACAAAAAGAAAGTTATATTTTTCTCTTAATCTTGTTGATATATGTGAAAAACGAGTGTGAGCTGGGAAAAAAGGGAGCAGAAAGATGGGAAATGTCAGGCAAACATGTGACTTAACCTACCTTGATAAGCCGTCTCTGTGGCTTTCCTCTTCTGTTCTGCTTCCTCCTCCTCCTGTTTCTTCTTTCTAAAGGTGGAATTATACACTTTTTAACAACCACCAACTGGGTGGTAAATATAATAAGGAAGACAGGTTAGATTGAGGCTAACAGATTAAATATGAGTACCTAATGGGAAAAGATTAGAACAGCAATCTGGTGTAACGTTGCTTAACTGCAAAAACATACAATAATAGCCTATATGCCACGGTCATTAATGACGTATTTCCAGTAAAATTTTTGCCACGCTCCTCCCTTCCACTCCCTGCTTACTGCCTATGTTTTTAGCGTTAGCTCCTAGTACTAGTCCGTGAAAAAGTCACAAAGTTGAAGCATCTGTGATCTACTGGTATAAAACGTGAGTTCTGTTGTGTGTTGTTGTGTCCACTAAGCAGCAGATACGATCCAGTAGTTAGTTTTTATCCATTTTCCTCTTGATGAGGAGGTGACAGCAGAGGATCATAGCATTACAGGGAAAACTTATCTTTAAAAGCTCACGCTTGCATTTGTAATCGACATTTCAAACCTGAGGATATTCAAGAGTCAACATCAGAAATGAGAAGACGGAGGTTACAAAAGGGAAATGTACATTTATCCCCTTTTACTGCCAAGACCAGGAGAGGAAAGACCACCTCCAGAGGACAGCTAGCAGGAAGCTAGCAGGAAGCTAACACAGCAGCTGGTACAAAGGTAGGTGTGTGCGTTTGTTTTATATGAAATGTTTTTATGCAACTTTGTCGTGAGTTTTATGCAAAAGTAAAACCTTGTTAGAGTGTATATTACAGCGTAGACTAAAGCCGAGTGACGTTACCCCCCCGGGGGAGCAGCAGAACCTCCGCCTGATAATCATTACGTTTTCAGTTCACTAACGTCGGGGGAAACGATCCAAACCGTACAAGTAGCCCATCAATTTAAAGCCCAGACTCTGCTCTTTCCAACAATATTATTGTCACAGCTCTAAGTGAAAAATTCACAGAACAAGCAGCCACAGAATAGTGAAAAAGGCTAAATTCTGGATCCATAAACACGAACATCTTTCCTTTGTTTTTATGTCTTTAATCCACTTTGGAGTGATTTTTTTCCACTTGGCTGGACCTGTACGTCTCCTGTGTTGATGTTGGTACATGTAATATGCTAATTCTGTACTGTGGAGATCATTAAGAGTCGTTGTCAGGTGAAAAAATCTTTTGCTAACACTGTGTTGACCGCGAACCGGAAGTGTTGGGAGTGGCATCAAGTGCTGGGCCGGATGTCCATGGCATATAGGCTATTAAAGAAAGCTGTATTTAAGAAAGATTGAACCTTATAAACACTGACAAGCTGCAAGTTTTATTATAGTAAGAACCAACTTTTAACTGGCTTAAACAGTATTGTCTGCACTATTCAACCTAAGTATAGGACGTTGAGTTGATTTTATTAGAAAAAAATCTAAAAAGACGTAGTTTGACTTGTGTTTGATCTGTTGGACATAATAAGAGGTAAACATTCTGTGACTCCTGCTGCTCCTCTGAGTGACAGCGATGTCAGAACAGCTGCATTTTTAAACACCTGTCTCTGGCTCTATGTATGCAAATGCTCACAAGCAGCCATTTTGCCATTAAACATTAATTACTCCCCACCCCAGCATCATCCAGGTCCAAAAGGGTCCCACAGGTCTGAACAGGGACCAACTTCTGAACAAACAATCAAACAGATAAGAGACTTACAGTGTCACCTCTGCCCACAGGTCCTTGAGCTGTGAATCCATGTGACCTGCCTGGATCAGATCCACCTCCTTCTTCAATTTCCTGGCAGAACAATAAAACTAAAAAGATTAAATTATTTTAAATTTTACTTCACTTTCATACCATAAATGCCCTCAATGCCAAAAGAGATACAGCAGGCAAAACACTTGTTTGTTCTATTTTGAGATATTATTTGGTTATGCAGGGCTCTACACCAATTTGCTTTCAAATGCAATCTGATTTCTTAATAGTGCGACCAGAACTAAATTTCCAGTCATACTGGTGTAACCATCCGAGGGGGTCCAGGGGGAGGTGGGGAAGCAAGCAGTCACCGACACGAAGTCTCCATGACTTGTAGTAGACACACACACACACACACACACACACACACACACACACACACACACACACAAAAAGTTTGTTTCTTGACCCCGTGGGGACCTTCCATTGATAGTGTTTTGCGTTCCCCTCTCTGTCATGTGGATGGAGGACCTCAGTGACGAGAGGAGAATGTGTAGCACTGAGCTAATACATATATATGATGATAGTCTCGGGGCTAATGCTAAAGCTAACAGGCTAAGCTGAGGTTCTTCTTCCATGAAGCAGCTCTGTTGTCCTCCATCCATATTTTCAGTTCCAGGCTGAGTCATTT